ATAAAGTGACCATTTAAACTAGAAATTGGAAAGTTTCAATCATGGTAGTAAAGTGATGGAACTGTTGCCAGCCTTGGCTATTTTGAAGGGGCCTAGGCTAAGCTGCAGAAGTGTTGCTAAACAGAAGGTCCAAAGCTGGTTTCTGAGTATCAATACTGTGAACCTTTGCAGGAGTGACCATTAACTTGGTCAGCAAGCAAAGGAAACCATCAAACAATTAAACAAAGCACAAGGTCTGAAAAGAGATTCATACATTGTAAGGCTGGAAGGGACCTTGGAAGATCATCGGGTCCAGCCCCTGCACCAAGCAGGAAAGATAACTAGGGTCAGACAAGGGAAGACCGTACAGTAAGTAATCCAGATACACTTTATCATAGCTTAGAGAACTCAGCAGATTCAAGAAGATCTGGTGCCAATCTGCATGCAATCCTCGTCCCACCTCTCGAGTCTCCCCAGCCGTCATAGGTGCGAATCTATGTGGTGCTGTTGCAGGTAACAAGGTAAACGTTGGGATAAATGTTTGTTTTCATGTTTTAAAATGCAAGCAAATAAAAGGTTGGACTATAGACCTATTTCTGCCTCTTTCATCCGTAGCCTACCCACAAGGTTACCTCTAATCTGGGTAACAGAACAGCCTCCCAGTAGTAGTGGGGAGAGCATAAAACCTAACTAGTTTTAGGATGGAGCTTGGTCATGTCATGAAAGGGGTGTGACTACTTTCTGTTGCAAGGTGATGATCTAGGGGGCAGGTCATTTCTGGGAAGTGTAATGATGAAGCACACTCAACCACAGAGCAGCTCTTTGCTAGCCTGTAACTCCTCACTATCTGAGACTGTTTCTGGAATATTTCTAACTCCTGGAACAGTCAACAAAGTAGTAAAGTAATGCTTGTTACACAACAATTAAGTAAACTGCTGACACATACTCTTCTGTCTGGAGTTACGTGGAATAAAGCTGTCAAAATTAATTCTGATGACAAACAGCTAGGTGCCACCTCTTCTCTCCTCTTGTACAAGAGTAATAGTGGCACTCCAATATGGAGCAGTCAAACATGAAAGCTCTCAGCTGATGCACCCATTATTCTTAGGGTTATATAAACCAGTGTTCAGTGTGGTGCAAACATTATGCAAGTACAGCATGTCCCCAATTCAGAACCCCTGCTTAACATCTTAGAACACATTTGTTATTCAGAATATGCCTTGCAATTTCTTGTTTCGTTTTGGCAGCCAAATGGGAATTTTCCTTGTTGTATTGAAAGTACTAGAGGAAAGAATCTTACAAAAGTCTGCATGAAATTTCTGTTGTTCCTTCACAAATTTCAACTCTTTTTAAGTCAGTCTGCATCTGGGCTATTAAATTAAACCTACCTTTAGATCTCCTGATGGAGAAACACATTCTTAATTTCTCACTGTCATTACCCAGTGATGACAACGATGATAGTGACACTTTCTCACTAACATGGCTTCAGTAAGACCAAGAGGGGACTACTACAATGGCAAAAGGGCATAGGACCTGGACAGGTGACTCTTATTTTAATTATTTATGCTGCATTCCAAAGTGGACAGAGTAGTACCTATCTTATGGCAGCTGTTAAGAGAAGGCCCTTTTACAGTGATTTGCCATTAAGCAGCAAGGAAGTGGGTAAATAACCTGCTGACGATGAGTACACAGCTATCCCAGGATGAAAGCAGACAGATGATACCCAAAGCAATGTGACTTCTGTTAGTATAGTGTTATTCCAATTATTCCTGGGATTATTCTACACTGGATTTGAATGTTACACTGTAGGGACCTACCTAAACCTTGGCACAAGTCCTACCTAAATCTCACCCTTTTTGCTGCATGTCCCCACTCCCCTGTCACTGCTGTTGAGTTGCCAAGAGGCAAACATCGCAGCATTAATTGCCTCTTGGCCACTCAGTGGCAGAGGTGGGATGGGAGGGTGGCGCAGTGAAGAGAGTGAGATTAAAGGTACCACTGCTGCAAACTTCTGCAGTGATTTAGGTAGATCCCTGTACATTAGTGTAAGGATTCATGTTATCTACCCACTTCTAGTTTATACCAGTGTAAAAACTGGTTATGTTGATACAACTCCAAATTGCTCTTTCTTCATGCTTCCTGAAGAGATTGCAAAAGTCTGAGGGTGGGAAAGGAAATTCTAGTTAGTTCCAGCGACAGTGATGAATTGTGCAATTTGTTCCATGTTTAACATGTCCCTTCTTCAGAGAGAGTTCACAAGCACTCATATAAGCAGTGAGCAGGAAGCAACAAGTCAGAAAAGGATGAAGGTGATAGCTTTATGATGATAGCTGCTCAGTTTGGACTTGCAGATATTAGAGTCATTCAATCAAAGTGGTTTTTTTCAGTTTGCATAAAAATAAAGAAGATAATGGTATAGAACCATGAATATTAATAATTCATTATGACACCATGTAAAAGGCGAATTTTTAACAAAGGTTCCAAATTTAGGATTAGAAATGGATTTAAATTGAAACAATTTGGTGATTATCAGAACAAAGAAGAAAGAAAGGGAATTTCACACACAAAGGGCAGCTTAGGAAGTGTCTACACTAGCTGAGAATAGCTGTAGGTTGATATTTGTAACAGTATTCATTGCTCAAATCCAACAGAACAGATGGTCCTGAGTAGACCTAAAACTTACTCACAAATGAACAGGCTAGCATTTCACTGGAGTTGGGAGAAATTGGAGTTTCTCAAGAAACTTACATATTGAAATATGGCCCCAGGTTGGCAGAAGGCAATGCACTACCCTTTGGCAGGAGCAGAGGAACTCTCTGTCTTGCTAACTTTGACAATTTTTTTTCTTTTCAATGCTGAGGACTTTGCTGATGGAGCAATATCTTAGGCAACAAATTTAGATCCAGATGACCTGGTTCTGCTCCTGCATGCACAAAGTTCACAGTCTGGTAATTCCATTCACTTCGCAGGGGTACTCCTGACTTACCTCAGTGCAAGTAACAGGCTAAGGACCAGTACTGGAGTTTGGAGTCAGAAAAATACTAAATTAAAGAAAATTCAAAACAACACACTGGAGACCAAGTGCCTGATCTAGATCTCATTTGCCTCTGTACAAAGCATGAGCTATATCATTGGAAGCCAGAGCTGAGCGCAGATCCTAATCTTTATCTAGATTTTCATATTTGTTTATTCATAAAGTTCCTCTACCTATGTGGAATGAGTAGACTTCACCACCTGATGTTATGGGCTAGGGACAGACATTACACATAAACTGGTTTAAGTGATCAGAAACTGGTTTCAACCTGTAACAGAACAGAAGTTCAGCGCACATAAACCAGTTTCAAAATAGCTGAAACTGGTTTAAGATAAACCTGGTTGAATGTTTATCTTAAACCAAATCAGACTTGGCTATTTTGGGTCAAACTAGTTCATGCAATGTCTGTCCCAGACCTCTTTCTGGTTTAAGATAAACCAGAGTCCTCCAGCATCCCAGATGCTTTGCAGCCTTGGGCTGGGCTGGGCTCGGCTGTGCTGTCTGCTCCAGAGAACAGGGCTGGCCCCACCCCTCTCCTCCCTAGCCAGAGCTCTGGGGGAGACTGCAGGCACAGCAGGATCTGCCTGGCTTCCCTTGCTGCTCAAGCAGGTATTCCCCACCTCCTTCCCTCCCACAGCACAGACCCTAGCCCCATGGACCCTAGGCATGTGGGATGCTGAGAGGTGTGTCTGTATGTGTCTCCAATTTCACTGGGACAGGTAGACAGAACAGTATCCACTTAGGGCTTTTTGGAGATAACCAACAGGTCAGCTGTTAATGTCTCTCCCTTCCTTCCTTGGAAAAAGCTGTTTAAGAAGAGCTTAAATTAATGACAGAAGCTTTTGTTTTGCTGATGGGCTGATAAACACTGTGGTTTTATCAGCCCCCCCTGCTGGTTTGCAGCCCTATCAGGTTTGCAGACAGTGAGAGGGAGATTGCAAAGCTCAGTATCATCAACAGATGCATGCACTGCATACCCCACTTTGCCTCAGAGTGCTAGCTGGGGTCTGGCAACATTCCCACCCCTTGAGCAGCGAGTGGGGGGGAAAGCCTGAGACAGTGCAGGCCAGAGTGGGGGTTTAACCCCTTCCTAATCAGAGAATCCTGCCTGGGCCAGGTCCCCCTGTCCCCCCAGCTCAGCACTGTCCATGGGAAAGGGTGGCTGCTCTAGCACCCCCTGGCTTCGAGCCTGAGCCACTGCAGGCATGTGCCTGCATTTCTGAAATGAAAAGGGAATGTCTATCCACCTCCAGATTGGTTCAAGCTTTGCAGGTTAGACTAACCTGCAAAGACTTAATCAATTCAGGCTCAAGCTTTTTGAATGTTTGCCCCTAGCTATGATCATCAGCAGATCTACATCAAAGGGGGCAATCCCATTCAGCTAGTCTTCTGCCTCAACTGTAAAACATATGAGCTAGAATCTGTCGTCTTTGCTTCTCATAAGTATTCCAACATTATTATTACATTATAGTACTACATTACTTTGCAGATGGTCTCCCTGACTTTGGTAAGACAGCTCATTGCACAACTGAGAAGGAATAATGGGGGCAGAACTTTGCCCTCCGTGTAGGGCCAGGGCCAGATGTTCATGGGCAAGGTGCCCATAGCAGGGGCCAAACTTTAGAAAGAGGTCAAATCCCATTTAAAGACCTGCATGTGGTGCTTACTCAGATAATACAGTACTAGGCAAAAGCATAACATCCTGAGAAAAATGTTTAAAACTGCTCAGCATCTTCAACCCCAGTGGGGCTGAAGGTTGTTTTAATCTGGCTTATTCTTTTGCTGCTGAAAAGACCGGAGACAAAAACCTGGATCAGAGGATCTAAGTACATCAAAGAAATTCTTCCACAATCCTTTCCTGCACTTCTTATTTTCTCTTCTGGTAATATTTCAGCAGCATGTGATAGAAACGTAGGCATGACTTTGGAAGGCTCCCTGTTTCTATAAATGGTCAATTGCCACTTACCATTATTTTAATCTTTCATAGAAATAAAGATTGCCTAAAAATATGGGAAACATTACAAGATGCATTTATGTACAAGAACCCATGTAATATTACAACAGATGACTATCAGCCTTTAATGGATTTAGCAAGACATCCTGTACCATGCAACAAGGTAATAATGCTTGTGTGTGGATATGGACTGTATGTGTTCTTTCTCTGTATAATTCCTACTACAATGGACTCTTTCCATGGTAATCACAAGCGGTTCCAAATACCTGGAGGTACCCTGACTTCAGGGTTGCTATAATGTCCAACCCATGCATTTGTTCTTCTGGACCAAGAAACCCTCAAAATTCTGTTTATTGGCAGCCATTGCTGGACATCACTGTTTCTACTGTCAGTGGCTGGACCATAAAGGGAAAATTGTGGTGTCTGTTACAGCTTTAGAAGAAGTACTCTACAAAAGGGAGATGTAGCTATACAGTTAGAGGCAAACAGCTTTTAAAAGCTATTGTCCCATATGGTATCAGAATGCAGATAGTAATGAAGAAGTTATATTAACTAACCAAAAAATATCCCTTAAAGTCATTTAAACCACATTGTTAAAAACATGACAGTTTGTGATAAAAAAGCAGCCATTTTCATCAAACCACTCTAAAATTTGAAAAATAAAACAGCTTTTATTTTCCATCCTTTGACAAAAACCTGAAAACTAAAACATCTTTATCAACATCAAAATGGTCACAATGAAAGTCTTCATTTTCTGACCAGCTCGAATATCACTGCCATTTATTACACATTATCTCCTCTCTCACACAGTCACTGCTTTGGAGCAAGACAAATGAACTGGTTCACCGTTACACAAAAGCTGACCACAATTTCCTTACTCTGGAGGACACCTTGCTGGGTTACATAGCTGACCAGGTGTCATGGTGTGGTGATCCAGCCAGCCCAGGTAAGGATACTTTTTCACTCCTATACAATAAATATATGAGCATTGATAGTTGTCATTTTTTCTTTGCTCATATATTTCAATAAGATATTACATACCTCTCAGGACTGATATTTCACCTCTTTGGTTTCAACCCAAATGTAATTTATTTTAAAAGTATTGAATCTTTAGCCTTGCCTGAGTCATGGAAGTGTGAAAAAATATTTATTTCTCAACTTCTAAGAAGTTTTTTTTATCACCCAGTGCTGGGAAAATACCACATTTTCCCCTCAAAGAACACATACCTTTCCCTTCCAAATCATGTGGGGCAAATAAGAGTAAGTATTATATATGAGAGATATGGATTTCAATGGATCTGGAAATTTGGTGGAAAGAAAGCAGTGGCAGCGTTAACTGCCATAATTCTGGGCATCTGGATTTGGCCACTGTATGGGAGCAGTCTGCAGTTGGACTTGGGGTGTGCTCCTGGACTTTGTTCACAGTTGGACTTGCTACACAGCCCCAGACCCAGCATGCTGGGCTAGTGTGCAAGGTTGATTCATTGACACCATCCAGCACATGGGACTGGCAGCAGGCTCAGCTCTCCAACTGTTGCTACATGGTTACTGACCTATAACACAAGGTAAGAACGTTTATTTTTCAAGATGTCTTTCAAAAACAGGGTATGTATTATATTCAAGGGTGAGTTACATACAAGACAATATGATATCTCACTGCATTTGGCATATCACTGGTACAGACTGCAGGGTCACATGTCTTTACTTTAGTCAGTATCTTACTGGGATTGTTATGGTAGCAATTGAAGAATAAGGTCCTGGGGCTATAATGGAGCTCTAATCAGAGAAGCCCTTTAAAACTGCATAGTCTTATTGAAGATAGGATGCAATACTACCTAAATGTTTGATGACAACTTCTCTAACTATAATTATGTGACACAATGTTTTTTTTCTGTTTGTTTTGTTTCATGGCTTTTAAGGCATTAACTATGAATCTTGTCCAAAGTGGACTGAATGCGAGAGCAACCCCAGCACTGTATACTGGAAAATGGCATCCAAACTGGTAAGGCCTATATAGCAAATTTCCTCTGCTATGGGGGAAGGGATAAAAGAAGGTAAATTCTGGCCCCACTGCAGTCAGTGGCAAAACTCCCACTGACTGCAGTGGGGCCAGGATTTTATTTGGCCTCATTCAAGAGGGCAGACATGTGGCTAAAGTAAGCACTAAGATCTTGTATTTTATGCTGTAGCAGACTTAGGGGTCCAACACTAGCATCTGACACCCCCCGGCAGTCAGACTTGCATGCTGCACTCTCTGGTCTCCTAACCTCCTATCTGCCTGTATGACTCTGAGGTTAATAATGATGCATTTGGGAAGCTGTCTCTAGAGGCTGAAGTAGTTCATTTAGTGCCTTCCTTTTCAGCAGTCTTATGGGCTTCTCTGCCCCCAAAGCTCAGTTCTCAGGGCTTCTCCACTCCCAAAGCCATACCCATGCCTTACAGGTATTACTCTAATTTCATTTACTGGGTACACTGGACTTGTCTTTATCTCACTTCACCCCAGCCTGTGGGCACCTTACCCTTACAGGGCTGCTCCCTCACTGTCTCTGCTCTTTGCCAGTCTCAAAGCACAGAGGGTCTTCCCAAGACACCCCCCTGTAGCCTCCAACCAAACCCAGCCCCCCAGGCTCGTTGGGGGAGGCTAGGTTACATAACATAAAATGCATTATTGTTGTAAGGCTGCTTCTTCTTCTAAAGATCTGGGCCATCCTGAGCCTCTAGCCCCAGGCTTAGGCTTATTTGACCCCTTTCTCCATCTCTTCCCTCTGACCTGGCTCGCTGTTAACAGGTCCCAGGTGTTGCTAACTCCCTAATCAAAGGCCAGCATCCTGGTACCCGCAGTCTGCTTGCTGGGTCCTGCAGCCCATTTACTACTCACATCAGCTGTAGGTTCCCCACAAGCTGCACTTGCTTTGCTGGCTTGGTCCTGCTCTGCTGTCTTCCTTCCAGTAATGGGGGGGGGTCACTGGTTACATATACTCAGCGTTTAATGTCACAGTTGTTTGGCCATTCTTATCCTGACTTGAACTGGATCTTCTATAAGTGATGATCTGGACATTTGCTCTTGAACAGTACCAAGTGTATGGCAGTTGCTTTACAAATACTAATTACAATTTTTATAATTAAGGAGGATAATAGTGTCAGAATCAAGCCCACAAGGTAAAATTACTAAAGTAAATATGTGAGGGCTGCAAAGCATTCTGGAAATCACTATAGATTCTGGCTGAGAGAACAAGACTTTTACCTTCTGAACATAAACCCAAAGAGAAAACACTTCTTTAAAATTCACCGCTACAGCAAGGTACTGACCGAATTGCCTCACTTTAAGCATGCAGCAACTCCACTGACCTCAGATTAAAATTAGGCAAATACTTTAGTCTCTTGCTGAATCAAGGCTTTTCAAAATACTCATTTAGCTCTATTCTGTTAGGAGTCTTCTAAATCAAAGGCAATTGAAGGCTACTTTTCATCACCTTCAAATCATAGATAATCTTCCTTTAACACTCCCAGGTCACTAACTTTACTCTTACTCCTGGATGATGTCAGTTCACAAGAGAACTCGCAGTAATGCACTAATGGATCCAGAAGAGGGACCCTGATTGGGACAACCTTTGCTAAAGATTTTAGTTGAAGTTGGACAGATGTCTCTTGCTACTGTTTACCATTCGAGTCGCTTTAACTATGGCCCCTGGGAATGACCAAGACTCCCTGACACACTTATGTTGAGCAACAGTTTTCTGTGATGCCTGCTTCCCTCACTAGTTTTTGGCAGAAGAAGAAGATGGACATAGTTTAATTCAACTACACCCACTTGGAGCGTAAAAAGGTGCTTAAAGATCAATAATACCTTCAGAATTAAAAATAGTGACCAGCTCCAAGGAGATAAAGATCCCACTTGCTTCCTTGGAATGTAAGGATTACAGGAGAGCGTCCCTCCAGTCTCAAGAAAAGATAATGTTTTTACCGGCTATTTTAGTTGAATTAAACACTTTGTTTTCTCTTAGTCTAAACCAAACATTAAGAGAAGATTCTTCCTTAGTCTGAATAGTGGTAATGCCATTACTCTCTTATGTGAAAAGCCTGAAACAAAAAAAATACAGTTTTCAGAGATTGCTCTGGGTATGTATAGTGAAGCTTGCCAATTTTCTAAAACGTGCAGGAATTCTATAGCCTGTTCTTGGATCAGTTCATGAACCCAATCGATGATCGTCTCCCTTCCAGCTTCTGCCAGAGACATAGATATATTAGCTTGAACTATGGCTGAGGAACACACAGTAGCAATGGGGCAGCCTAAAAAGGGCTTCAAAGCACTTTTGTGCCACTCAGCTGTCAAAGCTCCTTTGTATCACGTTGGGCCCATTCCCAGTGTCATTTAGAATGTTTGTTGGCTACTCTGTTTTGCAACAATTGCTTACAGCCTCAGGAGCCCATTTCAGCATCTGGGGAGCTCTGGACTGCAGGGATATCTGACTGACTGTAGAAGGAGCAAGGGATAGCTTATGCATTGCAGTAGTGACTCTTCCCCCATGTAAGAACTGATTTTCACAGGGGAGTCCTCCAGGGGTTGCCAGAGGCTAGGCTGCTCTTTGTTACAATGCAGCCCATCTCAGGTGAGGCCCTGGTTTACTGTGTTCAGTAGGAAGCGTAGATTCAGTCCCATAGCAAGCAGACATCCTGATCTCTCAGGTGGCTCATAGATTTACAGTTACATCCAGGGCTCGAAAAGGGGTGTTCCCAAATGGAAACAACTGGTCATGCTCCCTTTGCCTCTCATTAGCACCTAAAGTAGTTTACTTTCCAGGACCTCCTGTTTGAATAGCCTGCTGCCCTCTTATTTTTTTCTTTAATCCCGCTAGCTTTCAGTGGAACAGGCACAGGCTAATTCTAACACAAGCACTGAGGTTCAAAAAAAGTTAACACCCTGCGAAACAACTCAGTCATAACAGGAAACAGCTGTGCTTAATTAACTCCTGTTGTAACTTCCTTGCTTTCAAGAGGTTAATTTTACCTTAAAATTTATACATAGGAGCACATACAAGTATGGACATACACAGCCATTAAAACTGAAAAGTCTCCTTATCCTCCAAAACGATAAATAAATATGGGTACTCAATAACTGTAGCCATCTTAGAATACTTTAGAGATAGGTCTTACAGAATAGAGGTACATTAATGCTTTAGTCACCTAAAAGTCGAACACTACATGATATAATGTTTTAGCAAAGGAAAGCCGAAGACCCCAGAGCTTGAGCTGCTGAAGACAAGCACACAGCACAGCTCAGAAAGGAGAGGCTACTTTAAGGCGCATTGCATATTCTCAAGCCTGCAGCTGCTCTTCTTTGGGTTATTGTCCCAGGTTAAGTAAAATTAGTATAAGGACTGCTCTGTCTTTCACAGGCTGCCAATAGCTCCATGGCACCGATGGCAGCTCAAAGTCAGGGTCCTTGTACACTGTGACCCTTAGACTATACACAGAACAAGTATGATACAGACATCATTATGGCCGCTCGGTGCCACCCCAGGATTAGCATGTAAGCAACGATTCATTTCTAGCCAGTTAATGCAGTGTGAAGGCAATTTTGCACCAGCATATACAACCTTTTCTTTTCACTATCATCTTCTGTTAAAATAGCAGGGCAGATCCTTAGCTGCGTAAATTGATGCACTTCCACTGAAGTTAAAGGAGAGATGCAAATTTACACAAGCTGAGGACTTGACCCTTTGTTTCACTGGTCTGACGTAAAATGTCTATTTGCTTTGTTCAGTTTGCAGAAGAAGCGTGTGGTGTGGTTCAAGTGATGCTCAATGGATCAATAGATGCTGGAGCATTCAGAAGCAGCAGGTATCTACTTAACACAGGGGTGGGCAAAATACGGCCCGTGGGCTGGATCCGGCCCACGGAGCCCCTGCAAAACCAACATAATGGTGGCTGCCTCTCTAAAAGCCTGTGGTGGCACAAGCCGCCGGCTGCAGCACCTCAAGTTGTTTCCTTGGGTTCTGGTTATGAGGCAACCAACCCTGACCTCAGCCTGCCCCAGCTGGTCTCGCCCGCCCCTGGCTCAGATCACGTTTGCTGCTTGAGAGGGGCGGGGGCTGGGCCAGAACCTGTGGTGCCGGTGAGGGGAAACAGTGTCTGGGCCAGGGTGTGCTTTGCTGCACGGGACTGGAAAGGGCCCTGCCCTGCAGGTAAGCCCAGGAAAGCAGCTGCTGGGCAGGCTTTCCCCATGTCGTGCCGCTCGGGCCATGCAGGGTCAGGCTGGGGAGGGGAAGTAGCAGCCGGGCCACAGCTCCAGCCCAGTCAGCACCAGGGAGGAGAGGTGGCGGCGGAGCCGTGTGCCACTCAGGACAGGACGAGCCCGGCTGGAGCGGCAGGGGCTCAGCTGCATTTTCCCCTACCTGCGTCGGTCAGTCCCA